AACCCAATGTTTTAGGAAAAAGAAGGAAATATTTGCTTCCCTTCCCCAAGAGTCACTACCAAATGCAAGAATCAAAAAGTTATGGCAGGCAGCTTTTCAGAGGGAGTTTCCCCAGTCTGAGCTGGAATTCAATACAGGGTATGTGATGCCAGCAGAGAATTGGCTAAAGCAAGCTCTAAAATCATGTACCTGGGGAAAAAATAGTTCAAGCTGTCAACATCAAACGAACTCTTTATACCACATACAGAGCTTGTCACAAACCAGGCAAGTACTGTATATGGGATGTTACAAGTCTAGAGAGCTAGTGATGAGTAGATGTGTTAGGACTAGGGAAATGAAGGTTAGAGATGGAGAATGACTTACAGGATGGGTCAGATGCATGCATATCCTTGTACCATGGGCTCTCGCAGAAGTTGGAGGGCTGAAGGGGGAATTAGTAGAGGATGGAGGCTGCAATCCATCAGCTATATATCTCAAGGAACTTGCACTGAACATTGGATCCCTTGCCATCTCTGTCACTGTTACTACTGAAATATATGACCCCCGATGCTCTTTCTGGCATACGAGGCAGAGATGCTGCCCACAGACCAACTCCAGTTAGTCCTCAGCAGTGAGGAGAAGGAAATGCCCGTCTGAAGCCCCTTGGCTGTGCTGCAGAAGCATTCAACAGAGCTTCTGGGCATCTGTGTGTCCCACAGAAATACAGACTGCTCATGTCAACAAGAATTAGCACGGTCAGGTTCTTGGATTGAACTGAGGAAAAGAAATGAATTTACAAACACCTGGCATGAAATGCTTGCTGAGGGACCAGGAAGAAGATGGGTGAGGCTCAATGACAGCAAATATTAAATGAACAGCTGCTTACATTTTTATCCAGGCCTGCTCCTGGATGAGTCATGGGAGTGAAATAGTCGTGGCTATGAGGTCTCTGAGAACTCCATTCTTGACAAGTCCTGCCCCTTACAGTTTTTGCTACTGTGCCACGATAATCTTTACCATTACCATTAATGCAGTCTGTGAAGAAAAAGGAAAAGGAAATGACTGTTAGCTGTGAGCTATTGGGCCACGTCCATACTCAGTGATGGTGAAGCAGAAATAAATTTGAGGAAATACTACTAGGACTTACACATCCTACATGATATGTATACAAGGAAAGAAGGACGACGTGGTGTCAACGATGGCTAACAATGACATTTTAATTTCGTTGCATTTTAAACATTTTCTTCATGATCATGAAAGTCACTGTCATGGTTTAGCCCCAGCTGGCAACTGAGCACCACACAGCTGCTCACTCACTCTCCCCCTCCCCCAGTGGGACGGGGGAGAGAATTGGGAAAAAACTCGTGGGTTGAGATAAAAACAGTTTAATAGGACAGCAAGAGAGAAAGAAACAACAATGATAACAACAATGATAATGCCAGTAAAGGAATGTACAAGAACAAGTGATGCCCAATACAGCAATTGCTCACCACCCGGCGATGGACAGCCCATCCCTGAGCAGCGATTCCCGCCCCCCGGCCAACTCCAGTTTATGTACTGGGCATGACGTCGTATGGTATGGAATATCCCTTTGGCCAGCCTGGGTCAGCTGTCCTGGCCGTGTCCCCTCCCAGCTCCCCGTGCACCCCCAGCCTGCTCGCGGGCAGGCCAGCACGAGAAGCTGGACTGTCCTTGACTGCTGAGTAACAACCCAAAACATCAGCACGTTATCAACAGTTTCTCATCCCAAATCCAAAACATCGCCTCACGCTAGCTTCTATGAAGAAAACCAGCTCTATCCTGCCTGAAACCAGGATGGTCGCAAATCAAAGCAGCCTAGATTCAGTTGATCCTTTGTGACTCCAGAAGCCAGGACCACAAAGACCATGCACGCATAAAGCCTTTTCCTTAGGGACACTGATATTTATTTACTGCTACATTTTACGGTAGGTAAAAAGCAGTAGTATATGTTCAGCTAAAATTATTAGCCTTCTAACCAAAAGAACATGTCATAGCAAAAAAAAGAAAGCTGCAGCACTCTAACCATCTGCTGCGTAAGAAAGTTGCATCTGAACTGAATTGAAAAAGCCAGCTGTCTTCTGGTGGGAAATGGAGCCCTGGAAATGTGAACGTGTGGCACAGGAAAAGACTTTTTTGGAACACTTGCCAGCAAAATGCCATCACCTCTATATTTGCTGTCATTGCTAGTAGCCTTCCCACAATAGTGTGGAGACTATTAGCCATCTGTTTCTTTGTGTTTCCAATATTGCCAGAAGTAGCAGATAAAAGATGTGACATTAATCTAAAATCAAATACCAAAACCCTGATATAAAATTCTACAAGAAAGTTCAGAAAATGAAGAGAGTGGATACAGTATTATATTAAATTCTGTAATTATCTAGAGTTTCCTGTATTTTATCCTCATTAAATTCTTGATGATGTTTTGATAAAAAACAGCCTGCTGCTTATAAACATTTCTGAGGAAGTGGGAAGTATTCTCACCAGGATTTGTTTCCAGTGTTGTCTGAGGAGGTTTTGGTAAAGTCACTGGTACATGGTCATCACACCTCTTCAGGTTGCAATACTCCCATCTCACACTGGGGTCGGTGGTGTAGCACCATGGGCGGCTATCGGCATCTGGGTTTCTGCAATAATTCTGCTTCAGGTCCCTACAAATGTAAGCATATTATATTCCCATCCATGCCTCTGCTCTAAGGAGAACTTGAAAGAAAATTTTATAAAGCAGGTCTGCTATAGAATTAGCATATTTTTATCAAGTACACTCCCTTCCCAGCTTTAAAATCACTGTTGCATAAAGATGATGCAAGTCAAGATGAATTCATGAATGATCATTGTCCAATGGAACATGGGAATGGGAAATACACATACGCATTTGGGAACTGGTCTGCCGTTTTGTTGTGTCGGTGTGGTGACATTGAGCTCCAGGCTTGACATTTCTTTCCCGTGAGAGTGAAAGAAGCTGTACCACGGTAAGTCACACCATTGCCTTGATAGCAATCCTCAGTAATTTGAGCCTGCTCAGGCACATCAACAGCTGTAGTGAATAACAGAAACCAGTCCCTTGCATCTTAATACTTTGATATTTATACATGAGCATAGAAAGCCAACAGAAAACAGCAAGCCAGAGTACTTCACTGACCACCAACACGCTCTCTGTAACAGAATCCTTCTCAGACTGTAGATCAAAAGGAAGATTTCAAAAAAGTTTGTAAAAATTTCATTATACTCTAGATCAAAAACACTTGTACATCAAGTCTACTATGATACATGGGGATTTATTTCATCTAACGATCCAAATAGTTCACATATGTATCAAAACTTCTCCAGGGTAGGGGAATGTCTTTGCCACAGATGCGTGTGTGGAACAAGACTGCTTTGTGTAATGATAATTTTCTTTTAATTGCTTTTTATGGAGTCTTGATTCAGTGCTCTTAAACTATCTTAGACTCTGCTTTGGATTCAGTTTTTTAGGAGCTGGCATGTAAAGCTAATTAACTTTTCCATGGAACATTTAAAAATTTACAGCTGGAGGGAACCACCACTTGGCGAAAGGAAAAGACCTCTGTTACTGCAATTCTTCCTGAACTGGGTCAGCAGGTGTCTTAAAACCTTCTGCACTTATCCACCAGACCGAACAGACCAGCCTGGGCTCCACACCAGGCTCAAGAGTTCAACTGATACATAGCAACACTGAGAGTGACAGCAATAACACAACTGAGTAGAGCCACCCAAGATTCTTCAAAATAAACCATGATGACCCCTCACTTCCAGATGTTTCCTGTTGTTCTTACCAGGGGCCTCTGGCTCTGTTGCATCACAAGAGGGGATGGTGCAATATTCCCACCGGGCAGTTCTGTTTGTAGTGTAACACCATGGCATCTTCTCACCATCGGGATTTCTACAGTAGTTTTCCTCTAGGCTCCTGAAACAGAAAACCTGGCTAAGAAAAGCCTCTCATGGAAACCTAATAAAGGTTATGAACAACAGGGGAATGTACCTTGCTGCCTAGTTTACTGTTGCATTTACTGCTGAGTAACTCTGCTGTCATTTACTGATGCCATTTACTAGATGAATAATTGTAATGCACTGGTGTTTTGGGTGTGCTAAACCAGACACCTGCTAGATTGATGGATGAAATAAGAGATTGTATTTCACGTAGTACTTTGAGGCCAAGAGCAGCGCAGCAGAACCATCGGATGAAAGAATCTAGCCCCCAAACAAATACCATAATTACAACTTTTTTACTCCACATTGCTTCACCTAAACAAAAATACAGTAAAAGGATGAACTGAAGAGGGAAAAAGTCAATCAAGCAGAGCTTGAAAGTCAGAAGAGGAGACACTAGTATCCAAGAATGAAGAAGTGAATAAAAAAAAATGTGCAAAAAAATGGAAAAGATGGAATCCAGCAGGTGATGAATGCTGGTGTAACTGAAGAACTTTGCAACATATTTGAAGAAAAAGGAAGCAATTCTGTGCCTTGGTACTTTTTGTGAAGTATCTGAATAATGAAGAGGTTTCACGTACTTGCAGGGATAATTTTCAGGAGTGCGAGCATGTCTGTGAGGAGATTGAGAACTCCAGTGCTGACAGGTATTTCCCGATTCAGTAACAGATATTGTGCCTCGATAGTCTTCTCCTCTTCCTGATAGACACTGACGCCCTGGTGCAGGAACTGGTGGGGGTGTTGCTATTGCAGAAAAAGTAACTGAAATTTAGCAGTGCCTTCTAGACATATTAAAAACCAAAACCACTTTGAGCTTTATAATTAAGTGGGCTTTTAACTTGCTCTGCAGGTAAGGTTTAAAGACCAAAATGTTTGGAAAGTCCAAAAGGCAGAGAGAAGGTCTAAAAACATCTTAACTTTTCTTTCTTCCATTTTAACATCTTCACAAGCAGTCAGACTGCCAAAAAGGCATTTGCATCTGCCCTTTACAACAGCCAGGACACAACACAACCAAGCACTATCTTGAAACAAAGCCGGAAAGTGAGCAAGTGGCGATACTGTGAGGAAAACTGGGGTGAAAGCGGCAGGCCCAGCCGTGATAGGTACAGGTATAGGTGCAGATGTAAGAGAGAAGCACCTTAACTCGTGAGAGTTAGAGACAGCAAGAATGAGGTCTGGTGAGAAGCCCCAAGGAAAAGTATTGTGGCAAGGACACAAAGGCCTTTAGGGGAAAAGGAAATAGAAAAGGTGGAGAGTTGAACCGGAAGAGCAAAACAAAAGCCAAAAGATTTTCAGGAAGAGCAAAACTGTTCGTCATCAAAAGAGGAACCTTAGAAGAAACATCAGAACCACTGACATGCTTGGTCATGGAAAAACACATCAAGGAAGGGAGATGTGCTCCAGGCAAAACCATTAGAAATGCCTATGACAGAAATGTCTAGCCTCAAAAGAGCTATCACAAGTTCAATTCAAGGTTATTTATTTTTTTGTTTGAGATAAAAGTCAGCAGTCTTTTATTCTTTCTTTTATCTTTGAGGCCTCTTCTATTTGTTCTAGTTCCTTGCACCACCCTGAATGAAAGCTGTCTAGATGTCTTTATGTCTAGAAGTCTAGAACTCAGACTCACTGCAACGAGGAATGTCACAATATTCCCAGCGTTTAGTTGGGCTGGTGGTGAAACACCAGGGCCGAGGTTCACCATCGGGATTACGGCAATAATTCATCTTCAGATCCTTCTCTGGAAAACTGAACAGGAAAAATAATTTTTTAAAAATGTCACTAATGGCTGTAGCGATTACCCTGTATGGGGCAGGGTGGTCTTCAGGCCACCTTTGTCGATAAACAGCCCATCACAGAGACTGACTCACTTTTCCGGGAGGTATCCATGAGAGTGAGGTTGCTGGGAGTCCCAACGCTGGCACTCAAGCCCAGACACTGTTGTCGCAACTACTCCGTGGTAGTTTTCTCCACTGCAGTGCATGCACTCCACTGTAGGAGCAAGGCAGAATAAGGACAAGACAGACAGAAATTTCATGAGGAATTGGTCCATAAACACTCATGCTTATCTCACATGAAGCTCAAGAGCCTGATCAGAACACAAAGCTGAAGGACAGTCTTTTTTTGGCAAAGTAAAAGCTTATTTTTCTTGGTAAAATGAGCCTCAACTTGTTGATTACATTTATAGTATTCAATTTTAAAAAACCCCGACATTGTAGAATATAGTTTTTAAAAAAGCTAAATTAAAGCTACTAAACTATAATTGAAAATATATGCCTTGTCACTGTCACATTTTATTGACTTTTGCACTAGCAACTGTCATTTGGTTCAATTCTAGGATTACGATATGTGAATACACTCATATACCATCTTTTTATCTAGGGAAAATAAAAGACTTGGTTTTGGGGGTCTTTGGGTATCTTCCTTGTTGGTGTTGAAAATGTCTTCGGAGTTTTCAGATTGAACTAAACTCAGGTTTGCAACAAATACTCGATTAAAAATAAAAGTATCGAATAACTTCACATTCTTGAACACATATTGCAAAAAGGGAAAGAAATCTGTCTATATATATCCTGACCTTCACACTCTGGGATGTTACAGTAATCAAATCTGGTAGCAGGATCTGTTGTGTAACACCAAGGTCCCTTTTCATCGTTATCGGGATTTCTGCAATAGTTTTCCTCCAGTCCCGCATTGGGATATTTTTCAGGTGTGTAACTGGAAGAAAATTTAAATGGGATTAGAGAATAAGGAAAATGTCCCAATTGCTCATCTGAGGACTCTAAAAATTTCTCTAAAAATGAAATCTTTATCTGAGAACCATTTTGTAGGTTTTGTTCATTAGAATTCTCCTAATTACTACTGTGTGCCATTGCTAAAGAGTTGGACTTCATGAAATATGGTGCCTCTAAGGCCAGTCATGTCTTTAACACTTGCATTTACTCCAGCTGTTCAGTTGCCAGTAATTTTTGCCCAGCCGAGGTATTTTTCAGCATGTAGAGAAAAGTCTCCTCTGGAACATGTTCCCTGGGAGATGCAATGAGAAGGTATTTGCTGAAATGGGAGAGTTCTCTGTAACCTGAATGCTATGCCACCTCAGAAGGAGGTTACTAAATAAATGCAGTTGGGCGTTTTTCATTAAATACAAGAAATACTGCCCTGTTAATTGTCTATAGATTCACTGATGAAATGATGTACCTCTATCTCATCTGCCACATGCTATACCTTTAGCCAAGAGATATTCTTGCCTCATAAGATTAATGGAAAATTCTCATTTCAGCAGAACCAGATGCTTTCCTGTTGAGTGTTTTGCTCATGTAAGGATGACAAAATTTAAACACAACTGCCGAGACTGACAATGTCCCCATTGATCATGTAGCCCTAACTGCACGTCTCTGAGTTACAACTCAGATTAAAGAATTATCTTATTCTAGATAAGTGTGGCAAGATATTTCATAAGAAAATGTTGAACAGCAAACAAATTGCTTATAAGACTACTTAGCGCATATAAATGGCTTTGCAAAATTTCAGAAAAACATATAAACATATTCAAAAAGGTCTTACTTTGGTTTATGGGGGGCATTATCAACCCACTTCTGGCATGGCACACCGTTCTGAGTTTTAGCTTCTGTTCCTCTGTAATCCACCCCTGTTCCCTTCTTGCATTCTAGAAGATAAACTGAAATGATATGTGTTTAATTAATCAGCATCATGACGTGTCCATTGGATTTTAGTATATACAAAATCAATTTTCATGCTAATACATTTAAATACATTTGGTCATATTTTTACTTTCTTATGCTGTCAAAAAGAGACAGCTCATGTAAAAACCTACTAGTTATCTGATGTCCAAGTTGAATTCATTAGCATTGAAAAATTTATGTGAAAGCCAAAAACTTCCAAACCAGAATTCCAGAGAAATAAGTGTAACACAACCCAGTCCTTTTGAGAATATTCTATAGTAGATTTAAATAATAAAATATGCTTTTAAGATTTAAATATGCACTATAATGAAATAGAAACACATTCTCTTTTCATTGTCTGTTATGGTTATTATAGTTATGCATAGTAATTAAAAACAAACCTTAAAAGACAAACACCTGAATTCAGCTGCAGAAGATAAAAGGACAGAATCACAGATGCACACACACAGCATTTTACCAGTTTAAATAAGCAATTTTTTTAAAGTTCACATAAATGCAGGTGACATTTTTCCATTACAGTTCACCACGAATGAGATTTAATTAATTTATGATATGCTAAAATAATGGCTTTCTGCTGCAGAGGATAAAATGGATAGTTGGTTGAAGGTGCATATTTTATGTGCTTTTATACTCTTAGATTTTGGAACTTCATAGGGCCTTCATGAAAAAAAAAGAAAAAGGAGGAGTGAAAGAATTATCGGTGAAATACTGTCTTTATATAAGCCTCAGGGAATTTTAATGCTGAATAAGCCTGACGTGTATCAGTAGCCTTGAAAACATTAAATCGTTTTAAATCATTAGTCATTAAATTAAATGAGAACTGAAAGCTCAACGCTGCCATTTTTTTCCCAGGAGGAGGGAGCAACCGTAACCCCATCGCAGCCTTTAAGATTTTCCTGAGAGGACTGAACAATCACCTTCCCCGGCAAAGAACTGGTGGCTGCCAGGCAGGAGAAGGCTTACAAGGGGTGGCTCTGCCCAGGCACGGCTGAAGGATCTCAGGTCTTGGCACAGACCCTCAGAGCTTCTATAACTGCAGCTTAGGGACACTCTCTGTCAGGCAACATGTCCTCTGGCTTGGAAAACTAAGCAGAAAACTCATTTAACAGTTCTCTGTGCACAGGGCATATTTCATCAGACAGTTCCTCCTTTCTAGCTGCAGTGAAGCAATCTGTCTTTTAGGTTGTGACCTGGCTTGTCTCAACGTCTCTAAGTAATGTCCACATCAGATATTTGTGGAGACGCAGTTTTGCATCAGCTTTTCTCAGCGTCAAAGTTATACCAAAGCTGACATAAAAGTAGAAAATTAATATAAATCTGGAGAAACAGTGTCGTTTTACCCAGCTCTGTCTTGTCAAAAGTTAAAAGAACGAATACTTGCATCTGAAATAAGGTCCAGCTCTTCTGTGGGCCAATAGGTACTTTAGATCTGGATTTATGGATGTCCCTTTATGCATGTCTTTATTTCAATGTATATATGTATATGGGCAAGTTTACTCTTGAAACTTAGCTGGAAGCCATTTGGATCCCTCAAACAATTTTGCAATAAATTAACATTAAAAACCTCAATAACTGAACATTGAATCAGTCAAGTGCTGACTCTTTTTGTTTGCATAAACTTTTGAGCGTTTATATAACCTTTAGGTTTTTTTCTGCCTGATGACAAATAACTAACTTTGATCCCCAAACTCAATCCATGTCCCCTGGGTTAACTATTTACAAACAGATATGTGGATAACAATTCCCAAATGCTAGCTTTAGTTCTTATCAGTTTTTCTATAAGCCAGAGAAGGTTAACTTTCTTTTTTATGACACATAATATAGAAATAATATTTTTTAAAACTGTGAATTTTATACTAATTGTCATCCTTTTCTTTGAACATAATGATAAAGAGCAATTAGGTCTCATCAAGTAATTGCTTAAAATGAAAAAAAAAAAATGTTGGTTACAGCAAAAGTATTGCAAAAGCATCTCGGTATGTGAAAGGAATTTCCTTGAAGTATCAGGACAGCAGCAGCTGCTGGAGACAGTGTGATCTGTATAGGGAAAAGCTACATTTTCCATTCTGTTCTGTAACAGTAGATTAAATTGATATTATCATTAGAACGGACACATTATTATTTGAGACCCCCTACAAATGAAGAGATGAGCAACAGAGAAATCATCTGACACATAACACGATACGCTATGTTTTTCATGTTCACAATACCTAGGCCTATCCTTTGTTTTCTGTAGGTAGATGTGCAATTTTTGGACATTTCTGTTATGTAAAGCTACAATTTTTCACATCTTTACTGATGGGGTTCTGTTTTCCAAGAAACTAATATCCATGCCTACCACCTCAAAAAGCTTAAAAGGATGCTATAACAAATCCTCACTGAATATTGCAGGACTCTCATCCAGGTTCTAACCTCAGCGAATCAAAAGGATGTCTCAAAAATAAACCAGAATCACAGCCTAGCTCCTGATCACAGGACTGAAGCAAAATCAGTACGGATTACTTAGGTGTAAGTTATTTGTTCAGTCTTTAAAATTTGTTACTTGCCAGTTGATCCATTCAGTTTTCCTTCTGCAATAGGAACGGCAGAAGATTTCTTAGTATTACTTAACCATGGTTCAGGGAAATTCCCACCAGCTTCTGGATGTAATAAAAATACCTTATGTTCAAAACATTAAACCACTGATCAGCTATACATGAAAAAAAGGCAACTGGATGTAGGCTTCAGAAAATATCAAGCTGAAAAGGACCCTCAGTGGTCTTTGGTCCAAACCCCCCTAAAAAGCATGGCCAGCTTCCGAGCTGGATGAGGCTGCTCAGAGCTTTGTCCAGTCAATACCTGCAAGGGTGAAGGCTCCGCAGCTTCTCTGGGCAATGTGGTCCAGTGCTTACCCATCATCCCCGTGAAAAATTATTTTCCTTATATCCACAACGTCTGAACAAAATCTCATTTCGGTGCTCATCTGCAATCCAGTTAAAGATATTGAACTACTGCATAAAACCTTCTTGCAGGAGCTATATGCATAGCATTATCTTATCCCCCAAGCCTTTGCAGGTCAACAGAGGAGTAAGGATGCAATTTTCTGGAGGTCATTGGTATTTACAGTCTAGTTATTGTGATTCTTGACTTTTGGTTAGAAACTGGCCTATTGAAACCACCGCATGATTTGCAGCAGCTGAGAACCTGGTTCATTGTTCCTCTTCATGCACCTTTGATGAAGGAGACCAACTTCTTGGTAGATACTACAGTTTCCAATTTCTGAATATTCTCAAAGGTACTAATGTTTTTTAAAAAGTTACAAATCAGCAAATGGTGAAATGCAATGTTCATGAAGTCATTTAACACATAACGGTAGTAATTCCATTCAAAGTTTACCACATTATGTTATATGTCTGAATGATCAGAAAGAAGATCTTTTCTCCTTTGTGTATTACTAAAGTCAGAGAACAACAAAATGAAACTTATGTTACATTAAAAATAAAACATATTCCTTCTTCCCTGTACACAGAAAGAGCTCAGTGCTTGATTAATTCAAAAGTGCTTGAGTAATTAAAAAATAGTCTTCCAACCCAATCGTTTGTCTGCATCTGGCATAAGATGATAGATATTTAAAAGAGGTGATAAAAAAATTGGATAGTTGCCATTTCTTAAAGACGGACTTCCTATTTTCAGAGAGAATAGGAGACCAAATACACTTAGTTCACATAATCCTCATCTATGACAAAACTGATCAGAAATTAAACATGTACAAAAGGAGAATACAAAAATTCACCACGTAAATTAAGTATATCATAAATGTATAGATTAGGATAAAAGTTTCACCGAATTCATTAACTGAAGAGTATAAACATCATATAACAATATACAAATACTATAAAAATAGATCATTTTTATCTGAAGCATAGTGTATACAAATAACTATACAAATACAAAATACAAAATACAAATAATAATAATTGTATACAAATAACTATGCTTCAGATAAAAATAGATCATTTTTATCTGAAGCATAGTTAACACTGATACTTCCGACGACGTGTGCAACTAAAAGAAAGTCAATTTGAGTCCCACCCAAGTAAACTGTGAATTTTCTTTAGTGATACAAATGAAATTATTTGGTAGTTTCCACCAGTTTTCCAGTGGGCAAAGGTCTGTCTCAGAAATCCTTGCCAGCACAAGTAACTCTTCCTAACACCCTCAGCAGAGACATGGAAGATGCAGCCGTAGGTTACTGGCTGGTTTAAAAGGAGAGGAGAGAAGGGACCCTTAAACACCTCCATTACTCCCGGCATCTTCTGCCTTCCGCGAGCAACAGTGCTCTTTTCTGCCTCGCGGACCCTAGGATTTAGGGAGCAGGAAAAATGCTCGAGCACTAATCTGGGGAAAAAATTGGTACCACTGCTATACAAGCAATGTGGCAAAAAGCAGGTGTTAGGTAAGGGCTGACCTACCCACTTCGTCTGACCTGGCGAAGGCTTAGCCCCCATTTACAATAGGGTTACGTGAGTCCCACTAGAAAGCATATCTCAGTGAAATAATATAAAAAAGACACAGACATACTTCTTTTTTCATAAAGAACTGCATTTGTTCTTCTGAATATCACTGCTGTTTTGGTGTTCTCAGCCAATGTTAAACACTGTTGGTCTTTACTGGTGAATAAAAAGGCCCTGTTGAAATTAAGAGGAGAGAGCAACGTAAGAAACAATAGCTGGATGTGTGCATTATTTTCCTAAGCACCTTTTCTAGTATTCACTTATAATTTCAGGAAGCACTGCACGTCAGTAATATTTAAGACTGAGTAATGTATCACAAATCCCTGCGTATCACATCTTCCATTTTCAGTGGTGACTTTGGCTGCTAAGTCTTCATACCAAACTTAGGTCTAAAGGGAGCTACATGAACAAATTATGACAAGGGATAAAAAAGAAGGTTTATAATGTGCCAGAGACTCCAGAGAACAAGCTGAAGAGGATATATGCACAAGGCACCTTGACCTTATTTCAAAAAAATTAGGGGTCGGTCAAGAAGCGAGACATTCTACAGTATTCAGGTAAAACACAACAAGCCAGGGCCTTAAATTACTTCATGATTACTGTTCTGTGTCATCATACGTGACGCAATATGAGCACTTTGGAAAGCACAGCCATTTGTTTTTTCAGCAAGTACCTAGTCTATAAGTCTGCGAAACTGGAGCAGATGGTGTGACCTTTACAACAGCACCTAAGCGCGACTCCTGACAGGCTAAGGAATTTCTGCGGCCAGCTTTTCCGAACCGAAACAAGAGCAATAGCAACACGGCGTTCACTGGGTAGGTCTGTACCAGCAATGTAAATACTGACAAAGCCCGTTCTGTAGCCCCAATACCGACTGGCACGATCCCGGTGTGCCTGTACTTGTGAATTCGCACAGCCTCTCCCCAAAGGAGAGGGATCACCCCGGGCTCACTGCTGGGAGCGGTGCCTGCGCACTGTCTGGGGAGCGCTGGTTGCCCTGGGTCAAAACGAGACTGGGGACTGTTCCCCCCGATCCAGACCCAGCGCTCAGTAACGTTAAATTTACAAGTAGGGATGCAGCGAACGAGCAAGGCCCAACCGATCCGCACTGCTAAGGTTGGGATAACACGTCTGAAGTACCGATCTGAACTCCTCGGTCTGAAGCACTGATGTGATGGTGCTGCAGGGCTGGCGTGGCCTTAAAGCCCTGCCTAGCAGTTACCTTTCTTCCCCCAGATCCTTCCCTGCCAGATAGCGTCTGTTCTTTACCGATTGTAATAGATCTCAAGTAATTGATTGATGAGGGAGGCAAGGACAAAATAGCCCTGATGTTATTCCAGCGTCAGGTGATGGAAGGCTCAGACCTGAGGCAGAGGCTAAGGAATGATACTGTGTCGGAATACGCCTCAAAAGAGAACAATGAGACTCCGCAAACTATAAATATATAATCTGAATGTACAGACCTGCCCTCTTTGCCTTCCTCCCTAGCCTCCTGAGACAAGCACTGCTGAAGCTCAGCCCTCTCTGTGTGGTTTTCAGAGAGGGGAATAAGATCAAAGGCAGCGGGTGGTACCTCACACACTCGGTCAGCAAAACCCGGTCACCCTTCAGGGTCACACCTCTTTAAATTAAGTCTCATTTTCCCTTTTGATTTAAAACACAAACTTATCAAACACATTTTGAAAGTCAGCACCAGGGTATCCCTGCGTTGAATAAAAGCCTGATGGAGAACCAAGCGCTGGAAACAGCCCTGCAGACAGTCAGTCTGCTGAGTTCAAAGAGGGATGCTGCAGAAGCGGTGGGTCAAGAACTCGTGAAGATTAGAAGAGAAAACCTCCCTCCCTCATACGTGAGGACAGTCTCCCACCACAGTGACGGGTACCTGTCCTCGTTCCTCCAGTTGCCTGCTGTACTGCTGAGGCTCAGTGGGCTCTGAGGCTTTGGCAGAGGAGGCTCAGAAGCCTTAGGCTCAAAGCAATAGGCTCCCTTGAGGCAGGAGCCAGGGCAAAGACCAGCGGTACAGACCGGTCGACATCTTCCATGCTTTCTAGCCCCTTGGGCCTGGTTAAATGCAAGTGCAGAGGGAGGGCTTGGCTGGAAGTAAGGTTTAAGATCATTAAGGTTTAGATGGCTAGTAAAATTCAGAAAAAATTATCTATCTGCAAGATAATAGGCAATGCAATGAACATAAGCAAAGCCATTATTACTGTCCTAAATTTCCAAGCAATTAATTATTACTCTTTATTGCAAAAGGAGTGCAAGAACCTCGATAAAACCGTATCGAGTTGGTTTTCGGTGTGCCAAACTGTGCAGCGAGACACAACATTTTCCAATAAAAATTCAACATAATTTTCTTAATTTATCTATTTCTGCTGTCTTCATCCATATGTCCCAGGCATTCTGTTTCTATTTGTATTTTGTTTTTCCAGCAAACCTCAGACACACTTATTCCTAAGAAATCCCTCAAAAGTCCAGACTGCTGATAAATAAGGCAGATTGCTCCATTATCTGCAATGAAACATCTATGTGGGGACCAGTGGAAATTACCTGCAAGTAAATTTATTTTCAGTTTCACATTGCTCTGCACATTCTTCTTTAGTATTCGTCCTATAAATTTGCTTCTTTGGGTTGAGCAGCCAAGCTCCCTCTGTTCTCACATAGCTGTCTAGTATGTTTCCTTGCACTAAAAGGAAAAAGAGAGAAAGAAGTAAAAATGTGAAAGCTGATATGATTTATTTCAAATTTTCATGTTAAATTCTTTCCCACCTAGTTGAGTAACATCATCATTTAATTGCTGGAATAATTGTGTTAATGGTGACAAAATATGGATAAATCTTGCCTTCCTAGTATGGTGAAGGGTAGCGTCACTGAAAACCCCACGTAAGGCAGGACAAAGAAATGGCTTGAACAGCGCTTTGTATCATTCTGAGAGTCACAGCAAGCAACACAAACCTAGGTTATAAAGTGATGGGAACAGAGAAGACAACCCAAGGAGCGAAAAGAGTGAGGTGTTTCAAAAAGAAAATATTGGTCTCCCATACTTTGGAGAAAGTGGAGAAATGGGACTCAAGAAGGATGTGAAACGATGATTGTCCATTGTTGATACCTACCCACATGGAACGACTTTGGTTTTATCAGCCACCCCAGTTTTTCAGTCATTGCAGTTTTAAACAGAGAACTGAGTCGTGGGAGAAACTATTTCCCCAAACCCATACACTGCATTGTGACAAAATCCTGGTCTTCATCCTCTCAAGTGCTGCTGCCTTTCATCTACGTCTTTTCTTCTTTCTGCACTGCTGCAGATTTTCTTGGCTTTGTGTTTCTTGCTGTTGTGGTGTTCTTTGTCCCAAAAGTGCAAACTCTGCTTTGCCCCTTCACTTATCACCTCTGCTTCCTCCAGGTCCCTTATCTCCCACCTTGGATCCATTGACTCATTCCCTTTTCCAGAGTTTAGCACAGTCAAAACTAATGATATTGTACAGCTCCCTGTACGTTTTGAGCTGAAATTGTGACTTATTAGTAATGGCACATCTGAACGGACAGAGAAAACCAAAATACTTGACAAGCTGAAGTAAGGTGAAATAACTTTTAGTGTTAAACTTTTAAACTTCGATTTCACCCTGTCCAGATCGTCAAAGACACCAAGGAGCCTTGCCGCACCATATTTTAGCTGCCTCTTTTCAAACGCTCTTGCAAGAAACAAGCTATCCTCCGTCACCGGGGTTATCACCGTGCTCATGTTCAGTTCAGCACTTTTGTAATCACTTTTGTAATAACTCTGTATTGAACTTACTTAATAACCGAGGTGGCAGATCTTGCCCTCCATTGCAGTGAATTAACACAAGACATTAAACTGGTAAATAAATTCACCTAACAACCTCTGGGTTACAAATGCATGTGAAACCTATAGGGTGCTAAAACAGAAAGCTGTGTTTAGTGGTAAACTCCAAAAACGTTCCAGTACAACCCTTCTTGTAAGGGATTTTGCCATTTAGTATTTCCTTTTTCTGTTACAGCTACGCGCTCTCTGAATACGTAGCTACCGTTCACCAAACCGTGACTTTTGTCACTTCCCGCGGCAGGCTCCTGGGGTTGCACGCGTCCTGGGAGTTTTACCATTTCTCTATCAGATGAGCATATGACCCTGCGGACAAGCGCTTGGCGCTGGGAGTTGCCCGTTCTGCTCGGCTTCAACCCCAGCCAGACAGCTGGCCCGCGGTCCTTGCGACGCCCCTCGGCGCTGCCTCGCGCCCCGCTTCCGCGCCTTGCTTTACCCGACTGCCGAATACAAGGCGCACGGGGTGTGAACCGGACCCTGGCTTTCCCCTCACGCCCGACAGCCGTGCCGAAGAGAGGGGCGGCTTCTTCCTTCACCCTTTTCTGACCCTCCTCTTCCCGGCCGCAGCCCGGTGCCGGGCGGGGACAGAGAGCAGCCCCGTCCCACCCAGAGCCGCAGCCGG